AAATAATGTGATTCAAGCATACCAAACTGCCTCCACTTGGGCATAGGCATGAACTAGGTCGGCCGGCTTTGAGCTGCAACGGTGCAGAGACACGGGAGCCCAGAACTATTCTGGAAGCTCCCAGGGCACCCTCGGGTGCCCTCCTCGCCGCAACAGCCTCTTGTGGCCAGGGACGACGGCCTCCCCATTCGCCAGAGAGCCCTCCTTCCCAAATCTCCCTTCAGCTCCCGGCGCCCCAGGACCGGCCCGAGGTGGAGGGCCCGCTCTCGCAGCCTCGTCCCTCTCTCGGGTAGCCCGACTGGCGGGCGCGGGCAATCTTTGCCCCGGCGAGTCCTTGAAGTCTATATTTAGTGCATGCCACCCCTCCCCCACCGCCGGGAGGCAGGCGGCCGAGGGGGTGTGGGGGGAGAGCCCCGCCCCCGCCAGGCGTGTGTGTCGGGTGCGTCTGGGGCCCGCGCGGCTTGCGCGCCCTCAGCCTTTGCGCCTCCTGCACCCGAAACCCGGCTGCCGCCCCTGCGCCCCTCGTCCCGCCGGGCGTCGCGGGCCAACATGGGCCAGGAAGAGGAGCTGCTGAGGATCGCCAAGAAGCTGGAGAAGATGGTGGCCAGGAAGAACACGGTGAGGCTGCAGAGTTCGGGCCAGAGCCCCAGCCCCCGGGAGGCGCGGCGCGTGCGAGCCCGGGAGTCCCGGGGGCCCGTGCTGGCTGGACGCCCGGGAGGCGCGTGCGGGACTCGGGGACCGGAGGGAGGCACGGCCGGGGCAGGGCTCAGCGCCCCTTGGGGACTGCTGGCACCTCGGGGTGGGCGTGTGCATGGCCCGGGGCTCCGGGGTGGACCGTGCCGGCCCCAGAGACTGGGCTTGTGCACGTACGCCTGGACCTGCAGGGTTGGGGCCCCTGGGTAGCTTGTGCAGGGCCCGGGAAAGAGAGTGAAGAGACCGTCAGCTGGAAAAGGACTGTCGAAGCCCCGGGACTCGGCGTGTGCAAAGCCTAGGGAGCGGCGGTGACTGCGGGACGGGGGAGCCGGAGACTGGGGAAAACAAAATCCTGGGTGACCCGAGAAGGGGCAAAGAAACTTGAACTGATGAGGGGTGCTGAGCCGCGTCTACGCTGCACCCCGGGAGTGGATCTGGCGGAGAAAAGCGAAGGGCCTCGGATCCCGGAACCCCACAGCTTGAGGCTCCAGGAGCTGCTCTGTTTGCAACTCTCCCTTTCCTTGGCCGAGGGTTGGGGCCCAGGCGGGCGGGGGCCGAACAGGTGTCGGGCAGCCGCTGCGCCCATGGGGCCCGCGGGGCGGGGGAAGGGGGACCGGCTGCAGGCCTGGGCTGCGGGGCGGAGGAGGCCGGGGGCGGGGGAGAGAGGGGCCCGGAGGTTGCGGGGAATCAGAGACGGAGGCCTTACCTGCGGATCCCTGAGCGCTCAGTGCCAGGAGCCCTCAGCGCGGGCCGACTTGAAGTTAATGTTTGATCCTCCCTGCGATCTTTGCCTCAAGTTGGCTGCCGCCCTGTTGCCTAGACAAGCAAACTTGGCCTTGGGACGGAGAGGGCTGGAGCTCACCAGGAGAGGGAAGAGAGAGGAGGGTAGGCCAGCAGGCAGGTCCCTCACTTTGCCCTGTCCCAGAGCCCTCCTCCTCCCACCATCTGTAGGCATATGCTGGAGCAGGACCTGCGTTTCCAGCTCATCCTGTAATCCTAGGAGCTTGAGAGAGGGATGGACCCTAAGGGTGGTTTTAGAGCAGGAAAGAGGGAGAGGTCACTGGATCCATGGAGTGTCAGGGAGCTCTCCAGTAGACATGGGCAGTAATGAGTTGGTGTCCATATGAAGACCAGAGCCTCAGTTTCTTCATCTGTAAGAAGATGAGATTACCTACCTCCTGGGAAGGAATGTCACTGGATTTTTGTCTCTGCTGGTGGTGGTGAGGGTGGAAGAGATGTGAAACCCTTAGGAAGACCTGGACTGGTGCTTGGGAAGGCTTCGAGAGTGACTCCTCCAGAGGAAACAGAGGAAACACACAAACACACAAACCTGTTTCCTCCAGAGGAAACACACAAACCTGCAGAGTGTTGGGAGCCCCCATTCCAGGATGCTCCAAAGTCAGTGAAACTGAGCCTCAAGTCATCAGGCTCAACTGGGGGCGGCAGAGCCCAACCCGGGGCTCCTGAACCAAATTCCAACTCAAGTAGATGTGTTATCCCAGCCCTGCCCCTTGCTGATCCCAAGTTTGGGCCAGGAGATTCTGGACCTCTGCGTGAGGGGTGTGGGGGCAGCTTAGGAGACCTGAGAAAGGCAGCTTGGCTGAGGAGGAAGGGACCTGCCCTGGCCTCCCCTCACTCCTTTTATGGACCTAGACCCACCACTCTACTTTCCCTCTCTGGCCTCGATTTCCTCTTCTGTGAAATGGGAAGAGGAAATGGTGTCCCTTGGCGAGGATTCCTGTGGAAGTACCCAGAGCTTTCTCCAGGAAAGATGCAAGTCTGGCCTCAGGGTCCCTGTAGCACAGAGCCAGTCTGCAGCCACGTCTGCGCCTGGGTTCTTGGCAGCATCTGGGTGGGCACAGAGCTCTGGGCATGTGACCTAGAAAGGTGGGGCCTGCTCTGGGAGCGAAAGTGGGCCCGCCCAGTGGTGGTTAGGGAGAGGAGGACACACTTCCTGTAATAAGACGGATCTTCCACGTTGCAGCTCAGGCCCGGGGTTTACTGCCAATTACTGAAGTCCCAGCAACTTAGAGCTTTTGTCAGATGCTGGGAGCGCGCAGCAACTGTAACAGCTTCAGACTTACAGCCAAACATCCTCATGATCACACACAACAAACATAACTACATACATGCAGCCACACACAATATATGAACATATATCACACACAACTATGAACATAACTACATAAAAGACGTGGTTACTGACCCTGGTATGACTGACACACTAACCATTATATTTGCAGAAGGATACACAAAAACAACTACACACATGCCTACACGTGTGCATACACACAATAAGCTACACCCCGACATGCAAATCTACAAACTTAGCAGACAGCCACACTTACGTGTTCAGACATGTTATGACACGGCCATCATCCCTCAAAGACAAATAAACACATTATGCTTCGAGCAGCGTACACACAGCAGCTCCCCACCTGGACCAGAGATACTGCTGGCTGAACATCCCATTCGTGCATGCAGAGAGACACAGCTGGCAACATTTGCACGAGGCTTTGTGAGTCCAGCTACAACCCAGGCTCACGGCTGTTCTCCAACATAACCCAGTTATACAGTGTGATATGCAGAGGCACACGCCCAGTGGTGAGCTGGAACTGGCTTAACACTGTTGAACTTTCAGGAATTTTGCAAGCCAGTTGTTAAATACAGCCATTATTTTTAACATTAAATTATACGTTTACAATTAAATAAATTATATTAAAAACAAAGGTCATAGGGCTTCCCTGGTGGCGCAGTGGTTGAGAGTCCGCCTGCCGATGCAGGGGATGCGGGTTTGTGCCCCGGTCCGGGAGGATCCCACATGCCGCGGAGCGGCTGGGACCCGTGAGCCATGGACGCTGAGCCTGCGCGTCCGGAGCCTGTGCTCCTCAACGGGAGAGGCCACAGCAGTGAGAGGCCCGCGTACAGCAAAAAAAAAAAACAAAAAAAAACAAAGGTCATAAATACTCCAAAATCATCACTTCTTTATTATTTTATTGCATTTTACTGTCATCTATGGTCTGGAGGTTATTTACTTCTGTTATATCAATATGGTTTCACATCACATATCTCTTCCCAATACCTCCTTCAGGTCAGTCACAGCATGTTGGTATCTTGACATTGGCCATGGGAGGAGTATTGACACCACAGAAATGGGCAAACACTACAAATCAGTTTTTTTCCTTTGAGAACTTGTTGTTAAACATTGACCCACATACCACTGCACTTACCCATGTTGATATTTCATGATTGCACACGTCTAGCCAGACCTATGTCCATACCTACCTACTTGGTTGTATATTGGGTCGAACCCAAAGGGCCTGAGTTTGAATCCCAGCTCAGTTCCTATTTCTCTTCTCTGAAAATGGGATAATGATTCTGTAAAAATGGGAATAGTAATAGGACCTACCTCATGGGATCATTGAGACAGTTAGAAGAGATAATGCATGTAAAATACTTAGAACCGTGTCCAGCAGATAATAAGCCTTTAACTAGTGATAGATGCAGGCTTATATGCCCACAAGTTCACGTGCGCACACATCCGCAGGTCACACCTTGGAAAACAGACTATGAACCCAAGTTCTAAGGGAGGCTGAGGACTGACAGAGGGCAGCTCTTGGGATGTGGCCCAGGAAGACTAATAGGGAGGGGCTTGGTGACTGGCAGTGCACAGTGGGACCAGGACTCGGGCATACAGAACACAGTCAGCTGCTGCTCCCCAGGGAACCCATCTCAGCACCGGAGACCGGGGCTGGCTTCTAGGAAGTGGGTGGAAAGAAAGAGAAGGCTGAAATGGGTCAGGGGTTGTTCAGGGCCTGGCAGCCAACAGCTTTTCACATCCGAGTCTCCTTTCTTCCCCTCCCATTCTCCCCCCCTGCCTTCTGCTTTCTGCTTTATTCATTCACTCAGGGAGATGCTCCCTGAGTGATGAGTTCAGGATGCTGAACCCGGAGGTCTCAGAGATTAAGCAGTCCTCTTCACCGGAGAGAAAAGAAAGTACATGTCCACACAAACACTTGTATATGAACGTTCCCAGCAGCTTTATTTGTAATTGCTGCAAACTGGAAACTACCTAACAGTCCCATTAACAGGTGAATGGATAAACAAATTGTGGTATATACAGGCAATGGCAAACAACTCAGAAATAAAAAGGAGCTGTGGATCTGTGCTACAATGTGCATGAATCTCAAAATGATTACAGAGTGAAAGAAGCCAGATGCGAAATTCCATTACAGTCACTTTCTATAAAATCCTTCAAAATGCAAGCTCATCTAGAGGGGTTGGGGGTGCAGCGAGGGATGTGTGACAAAGGGGCACAAGGGAAATGTCGGGGATGCTGACTATGTCCTTATCTTGACTGTGGTGATGGTTTCAGGGGAGTATATGTATGTCAAAACTCATCACATTGTAGCCTACAACATGTGCGTTTTATTGTATGTCAGTTATACCTCTATAAAGCTGTTTAGAAAAAGCCACAGTCCTCAACCTACAGACGTTCCCAGTTGGGAAGTGAGGGGAGGCATATACAGACATAAAAGCAGAAGCAATAGGCCATGAAGCAATTAATTTTAGAGGAAGAGATGGGGAAGGGAAGAGAATGCCCAGTGGAAGGAACAGCAGAACCAATGGCTAGGGGTCAGGGTGAGTGGGTAGGGCTGGACCCTTGCTCAGAGGGGCTTGAACCCAGCTGGGTGGTGGGAGGTGAAGTTAGAGAGCTGGTTTGGGCAGAAGCTTTTCCTTCTCTCCTTCTATTCTTCGACCACTTGGCTGCCTGTCTCCTGTCACTGGAAGAGCCTCCTCCCTACCTCCTGCCACCCTCCTTCCCACTGAGACCACACAACGGTCAGAGAGAGGCCTGGGGCAGACCCCACGGGCCTCAGCCCTCACCTTGTGGCCTCCCACAGGAAGGGGCCCTCGACCTTCTGAAGAAGCTGAACAGCTGGCAGATGTCCATCCAGCTACTCCAGGTGGGTGGGGATGGGCAGTGCCTGGAGTGGAGGGTGACTTAGTGGGGCAGGGAAAGACCCTTGGGGGGAACCCTCCAAGGATGGGGTCTGGGAGGAATTTCTGAAAGGAAGGCGGCAGGATGGGATCTTGAGGTACTCTGGGGGTGGGAATCCAGGCCTTTAGATGATGGCAGGGTAGCTTCTAAGCCCTCGGGGCCTCTGGGTCTGGGGGAAAGACTGACTTACTTTCCTTGTGTACCCCAATTCCCAAGGCCCTGGGCCTGTGGGATCCAAGAGGCCAGTGACTCAGGGAGAGGGAAAAGCCCCCCATTTTTAGATCCTCCATGTGTTACCCATGTAGCCCCCAAACTTTACCAGAAGCTCTTGGCCCTGAAAAATCAGCAATACCCAAGTTGTAGTAGCCAGAGCTGTGTCTTAAGCTGAAATTTGAACTCAAAGACACCAGGGGCCAGAGAATGGAGAGGAGTCCTGGTCATCAGCCAGACCCACCACCACTGCTCCAGCTTTTCACCAGAGCCACAGTTACCCATCCCTGCAGGGCGCTGGGCCTTGGGCACTGACCTCACTCAGGACAGCAGGTCAGGGCCTCAGTTATAAGGTCAGGATTATTACCTCAGCCACAGGTCCAGGCTGGGACTGGGGAGAAGCTGGGCCAGGGGAAGGGGGTGATTGAGCTGGGGCAGGTCTTGCCAGTTAGGGCAGCCAGTCCAGTGGGTCCTAATTCCCAGACCGGCCACTAACCCTCTCGCTTTGCAGACCACCAGGATTGGAGTTGCCGTGAATGGGGTCCGCAAGCACTGCTCTGACAAGGAGGCGGTGTCCTTGGCCAAAGTCCTCGTCAGAAAGTGGAAGCAGCTGTTGGGTGAGAGGGGCAGGGTCGCTTGGGCCAAGTTTTCCTCCCAGCGCCTGGATGGACGGTGCCCGGCTTATAACAGGCACTCAGTGTATGGTTGTTGAATGACTTGATAAGTGACAGATGGCCTCTAGTGGGACTGCCAGTGCTTGTCTAAACAAGTGGGAGATTTGTAGATGGGTGGGTTTTCCTGTACATGTTCCTATGTATATATATCTGTGTTCTTGTGTGTTTGTACATATCTGTATATACACATTGATATGAATATGTGCATAGGTGTGTGCAAAGGTCTTTCTGTCCCCATGTGTGAGCTTCGGTTTGCACACACATGTGCATATTGGATACGCGCTTGTTTCTAAACGGGTATTTGTTGGGGGAGGTGGAGGCTATCTCAGTCCCTGACCTTTGCTCCTTCTTCCCCAGGTCCTGGGTTGGGCTGAGACAGAGAGTTAAGGAACAATGTTACCATTTTGTTTTTACACTCCCCAGCACCTCCTAAAGGAGAAAAAGGAGAGGAAAGAGTAAAAGCAAAGAAGAAGGAAAAAGGGCTTGGCTGTTCAGATTGGAAGCCAGAGACAAGCCTTTCTCCACCAAGGAAAAAACGAGTGGAAGAGCCCAAAGACAGGTATTTTTTCTGGGATGGAGAGAAGGGAGCTGACACTTGTCACATCCTATGGCAACACCTCTGTTTATATAACTTCATCTAATCCTCACACACCAGGAGGTGGTTATTGTTATTATCTCCTACAGCGCCCCCTCTGGGGGTCTTCTTGGCTCAACCAGACAGACTCACAAGACCCAAACAGGCCATCCCTGACATAGGCTTTGCCTAGAAGGATTCAGGGACAGGAGATGCACTGTGCCAGCAGGGTAGCCTCAGGTGTTTCTCATCACCAAGAGCTCTCACAGGGGACCACGCAGCGTCCAGAGCTACTCTCCGGCCCACCCAGGTGACATTCTCAGGTGCCGAGAACGAGACCGCGATGGGCAGGAGCCCCACGTCCTAAATCTTATAACAGTCCCATGGACAAAGCGTCCAGGATCCCAGCAAGGGCAATGACCAGTTACAAGAGCAATGACCACTGCACTCAGGGTAGCCCAAAGGCCGTGGTTTTCCACTGATCGTTTATAGTCCTTTCATAGCCCTTCCTGTGTAGACACAGTTTACCAATCGGCACTCATTTGCACTAGAAGCAGCGCCGACTAGTAGTACAGCTGACGTTCCACCTTTGTCAGGGTTCCAGGTAAATGGGGCTAGGAACTTGTCCACAGAGAAGGAAAGGTGTTTTGTTGGCTCTTTATTCAAATGGCCAATTTGCGACGCAGAAGCTGAAGGTTGGGGAGCAGGGCCTTTCTCAATATCACTCAGCCATTATGTGACAGAGTGGGATTCCCATCTTTGTCTGTCAGGCCCCCAGACCTCTGCTGAGGTCTCAACACCGTGCCCCTTCCCCTTTGCCCACCCCAGCCAGGGTCCCCCAAAATGCATGACTTTCTGATAGACCCAAATGCCTTATCCATGACAGTAGATAAAAGCCTTCATGGATGGATTAGTAAGTCCTACCTATTCCCTGTGTGACTAGAAAGATCACTTAATTCCTTAGGGAGGGGGTCATCTAATAGATAAGGGGGTGAGACTAGATAACACTGAATGGTACCTGATGGTACTAGATAATACAGATAGTATCGTGATATACCAACATTTTTAATGTACATACACTTTTTGCCAAGTATATCCACTACAGGGTATTCATTTTAAGGAATTAATCAGATTAAACATACAGATGTTATGTTCTGTGTGTAACATTTTTCAGGTGACATTTCTGAAACATTTTTTCCTCTGAATGCTTTTTAAATGAATGTTTATTATAATTCTATGAAATAAGTGTTTTTAGGAAATGATGCTATAAGAGGAGTGTTTCTTGACCAGGAGGAAGATATACCTCCACCACACTACTCCTATTTTTAGTTGTAAAAATAACTGTGGGGCAGAGGAAATGCTCCGTGCTACTCTTCCCACAATGCACAGAATAGTCCTACACACCAAAGAACCATTTATTATGTTCAAAATGCCAACAGGGCCCCCATGGAGAGAATGGAAGAATATTTAATGACGTGGAAAAATATTCACTAAGTATTAAGTGAAGTTGTGTACTATATAGTGTACTATATAGTTTGATTCCATTTTTATAAAAATTAATTAAGTGAATTTTATGTACATGCATAGGAAAAAAGACATGAAGGATATACACCAGGATGGTAATAGTGATTATTTCTGGGTGGTAAGATTGAGAGGTTTTTTTCTTCATCTTCTTTTTTTTTTTTTAAGATGTAATTTTTTAAAGATTTATTTATTATTTATTTTTGGCTGCATCGGGTCTTAGCTGCTGTATGCGGGATCTTCGTTGAGGCATGCACGATCTTTCGTTGCGGTGCGCGGGCTTCTCTCTAGTTATGACGTGCGGGTTTTCTCTCTCTAGTTGTGGCGCTCAGGCTCCAGGGTGTGTGGGCTCTGTAGTTTGCGGCACGCGGGCTCTAGTTGAGGTGCGCGAGCTCAGTAGTTGTGGCACGCGGGCATAGTTGCCCCGCGGCATGTGGGATCTTAGTTCCCTGACCAGGGATTGAACCCGTGCCGCCTGCATTGTAAGGCAGATTCTTTACCACTGGACCACCAGGGAAGTCCCTCTTCTTCTTTTTGCAAGTTTCTGTATTCCTAATGTTTTCCCAATAAATATGTACCAATTTGAAATGAGAAAAAATAATGAAACCATCTTTAAAAAAACAAAATTGTATCTGTGTGATTGTAATTAAGAAGAGCTTCATATTCTATGTTTTACAATAAAATTTTTTCATCTGTTTTTACAATAAAATTTTTTCATCTGTATTGTTTTTTTCACAATGATTCTGTATTGCTTTTGAAATCAGAACAACAGTACTTTTAGGGCCTTCCTGGTGGCGCAGTGGTTAAGAATCCACCTGCCAATGCAGGGGACACAGGTTTGAGCCCTGGTCCGGGAAGATCCCACATGCTGCGGAGCAACTAAGCCCGTGCACCACAACTACTGAGCCTGTGCTCTAGAGCCTGCGAGCCACAACTACTGAGCCCGTACACCACAACTACTGAAGCCCCTGTGCCTAGACCCCATGCTCTGCAACAAGAGAAGCCACCGCAATGAGAAGCCCACGCACCACAACAAAGAATAACCCCTGCTCGCAGCAACTAGAGAAAGCCCACATGCAGCAGTGAAGACCCAATGCAGCCAAAAATAAATAAATAAAATAAATTTTAATAAATAAATAATAAAAAGTAGGAAAAAAAATCACTCACATCCCCACCACCCCAAAACAATCACTATTAATATTTTGGTATATGTTTTTTCTTTCTATTTTCTCTTTGTTTTCTATAGTCATCATCAATTTTATAGTCTGCTTTTTAAAATGCAATACTTGTCAAATGATTGTGTAATCTTTTGTATGTTCTATTCCTTTCATTTTGCTAATTTTGCAGTTATATCCCACTTGGAGAAATCCTGATTGGCATTTAACTTTTCACATGGTGTGTTTGGTTTTCCCAAACGGGTTAGAAGGTTGGCTGCCAGGGATCCTGTGAGCCACCGTGCCCAGCATGGAGTGAGCATTTATTGAATACTGCTAGGCCCGGCTGTACCATTGCAGTCCCCTGTGGAAAATTCATGCTCTGGCTGGTCTGGCCATGTCTGGAGCCACTGTTTGGTTCTGAGCACCTTAGCAAATGAAGCCTCAGGATCTTGTGAGATGTAGTTGAAAGACAGAGGCTGAAGAGACCAAATGGGCTACGGGACTAATCTGTGGAATAGCGAGTGCAGACGTCTGGGAACAGATGGCAGCCTGAACACAGGTGTTTCCTTTTACTCTGTCCCCAAATCCCACTGAATGATCAGCAAAGGGATTTCTTTTAAAGGCCTACAAGGACAATAGGTAATGGCAAGGAGACGGTTGGAAAGCAGAAAGCCAAATTCTGGGCTGAACTTAATCACTTACACACACCCTTAGACTCTGAGACTCAGTATTATGGCCTAAGCGTCATTATCTCACTATATATAAAATGTATGTGCATGTGTGTGTGTGTATACATACACATATATATATCCTTCTAGAATTTTTCCTATGCATTTACCCATGAAATACTTATTGTATTCATAAAATGGAATTAAACTCTACGTTCTATTTTGTAGCATTTTCACATAATATATTTATTTCAACGGTGAGTCACATTTTTATAAAAAGTTTAGAAAGTCAAACACAAGAAGAAAATAACAGAAATAACACTGTTAACATTTTGATGTATATCTTTCTCATCTTTTTTAAGAACATAGAGAGTTGTATTTTCTTAATAAAATTGGGACCTCACTGTATGTACTGTGTTGTAACCAGCATTTTACAGATAACAACATCCTGGGGCATTGAATTGTTAATGCCAGCTCACTTTTCACAGCTGGAGCTATGAGATGAAGCTGTCACCATGGCTGAGCAGACAGTGGTCCCCCCACCTTGCTGGGAGAATCTAGTGGGCAGGGGTCCTATTTCAGCTCAGTTGATGAACTTCCTTTCTTTTTAGTTTTCTTAATGACAATTCATTATCATTATTTATTATATAAACAGTATAACCACATTAGTAAAATGTAAAGTAAGAACTTAAAATATTTCTTCACAGTTTGCCACTTCTGACAAACGAAACAGCTTTCATTTTCTTCTCTTCCCTCCCTGTCCTGATCTACTTACATACATAATTTCCCAATTCCTGTAGGCAGTCTACAAACTATTACATCCCTGTTCAGTTATCTTCCTAGTGTATTCTAGGCATTTTCTCATGTTCCCGAATAGTTTTCATAATCATTTGCAAAAACTGCGGAATATTTCTGGTTTGTTCTGAAAGGAAAAGTAATGAGGAAGGGCCAGAAAATGGGGAGTCTCGGGAGTTGTGGGGAGAGGCTCACATCTTCCCTCCTTTCTCCCGCTGCAAGAATTTCAGCTTCCGGCTCTGCCTGCACCTGTCCATCCCCATGGGGCACTCGGGGAGGAGCCCTGCAGAGGAACTCCCAGGGCCCCGTGCGGGACTGGAGGGGCATGTGAAGGAGGGTCTCTGCCGCTCTCCCTTTCTGCTGTCTCCCTGTGTTTAAGCTGGGGCAAAGGTCCAGAGCTGGATGAGTCTGGTCCACAGGATAATTAGAGCTGGCCCCTGAACCTTCCTCACCCACTGTCTCCCGGACCACCTGGAGGATGAGATGGGAGCTGGAAATCCATGCAGGAACCTTGCATAATCTGGAAGACCAGAAATCAGATACCTAGGATTATGGAGTATGGAGGACAGCTTTGTGGTGGGAATTGCTGTAGGGATGTTAATGATCTAAATTCTTCTTCCCAGCTAGCCCCCAAACATAGGTCCTTTACTCTCCATTTGACAGATGAGGGAACCGATGCTCAGAGAACATGACCTGCCCAGGGGCAAGACTGGGATTACAAGTCAAGTCGTCGTTGCCTCCCTTTTTAGAATGATAAATGTCATATATGTTTGTATGTGTGTAGAAAAAGATTTGGAAGGAAGGACATTAAACCTAACAGTTGTTACCTCTGGGCAGGTTTCTTTTTCCACTTTTTAAAATATTTCTTTACTGTTCGACTTCATAGCATTCAGCAACAAACATTTATAGAGCACCTACTGTGTGCCAGGCACTGTTCTATTCACTCGGGAGAGGTCAGTTGAATATATTAGGTTGGGCCTCCCAGAAGCAGACCCTGAGACACGGATTCAAGTGCAAGAGGCTTATTTGGGAAGTGATTTCAGGAAATGCAGACAGAGGAGTGAGGAAGTGAGACAGGGAAGGGAAGGGAACTGGCACAGGGTGCGTTCGTGGGCAGGTAACTGCCCTGGGTCACCAGGGCTTACATCCCGCTGGAGAGCAGTGGAGAACACACCTCAACTCACCCTCTGGAGGGCCGAGGAAGCTGGGGTATTTGCCCACCTATTTCCACGTGTCTGGTTGAGGGCTGCTCCTGGGGCTAACTCCCCAGCACTTCCTGCCTACCGGTCTGCTGGCGCTGGCTGGCATGGAGAACTCCCTGGGGCAGAGGCCCAGGGGATTTTGCAGGAGGAAGCCCTTGGGCCCCAGTGGACTTGGGAGAAGGAGTGCCCAAGGAATGATGTGGGCTTAGCAGAGACAGCGTTCACCACAGTGAACAAAACCCACCAAATTCTGCTCTTTCGAAATTTACATGAGAGGTGCTCGGACAATGCATAAAATAAGTAAACAAATAGTCTGTTAGAAGGTGATACTTGTGCTGGAATTAAAAGGAGAGCTGGGGGACTTCCCTGGTGGCGCAGTGGTTGGGAATCCGCCTGCCAATGCAGGGGACACAGGTTCGAGCCCTGGTCTGGGAAGATCCCACATGCCGTGGAGCAGCTGAGCCCATGTGCCACAACTGCTGAGCCTGCACTCTGGAGCCTGCGAGCCACAACTACTAAGCCCTGCGTGCCGCAGCTACTGATGCTCGCGTGCCTAGAGCCCGTGCTCCGCAACAAGAGAAGCCACCGCAATGAGAAGCCTGCACACTCTAATGAAGTGTAGCCCCTGCTCACTGCAACTGGAGAAAGCCCACGTGCAGCAACAAAGACCCAATGCAGCCATCAATAAATAAATAAATATTTAAAAATAAATAAAAAGGAGAGCTGGGTAAGTGACATGGGGAGTTACAATTTACAAGCAGATTAAAATGATAAAACCAAAAAAAGGGGAAAATGCATTCTACCGTATAAAGACTGGCTACCTGTATTTTGGAAAATGGGGGGAAACTTTTCCCTTCTAATCCCATCACCCTGATATAACCATGGTTAGCATTTGGATGTATTTTCTTTTCATCTTTTCCCCTCCTAAGCATTACTTTTCTTGCCTGACTTAAGACACAGTATGCATCTAAATGTGTGCCCTGCTTTTTTCTTTTTCTTTTTGGCCGCACTGGTGTGGCATGCGAAACTTCCCCAACCTGGGATCAAACCCGTGCCCCGCTGCCTCGGAAGCACAGAGTCTTAACCACTAGACCACCAGCAAAGTCCTGTATCCTGCTTTTTCACTTGCCGTTTTAAACCCAGCTCTTCTAGCTCCAAGGCCCACGTGCTTCTCTCCTCCTCTTAAGGTGCCCACAGGAGAGTCTGAAGCTGATCTCCTCCAGCTCCTCATGAGAATTGACAATCCCAGGAATTCCAATCCATCGATTCCAGCTAGCCAAGGCCTGCCTGTCAGCAAGGAGGAAGGGCCTACTGAGAATTAGTTATTAATAATTAGTAACATATGACGTAACACATGTAACATATCTGACACGTATTAGGTGCTTGGCAGATCTTGGTTTCCTTCCCTCGTATTACTTCATTTGATGGAGGGGAGGGGAGGGTCACCAGCCAGCACCTCCTGGAGCTCTCACTCCCGGGCAGCTGTGGCCCAGGTGGGCTTCGTCATCCTCTGCGCAGCAGGCCTGGCTCCAGGATGCCTTCTCTCCAGCCTCTGAGCTCTCTAGACCAGTACTCATGCTAGCCTACGAGAGTATCTCATCTCCAGTTTCTTTTCTTTCAGGAGAGACTCTGTGGACTCCAAGTCTTCGGCCACCTCCTCTCCAAAAAGACCATCGATGGAAAGGTAAAGGCAACCATGGACTTCTCCACCCCAGCAGTCCTGTTCAGCATGTTTGTCTCTCTCTGTTTTACTGGAGGAAGCCCGAGGCAGGGGAGAGGAGGAAACGTCATATCTTATGTTGCCTCTGATTTCTAAGACCACACAGTAAGACTCGGTGGGCCTCTGAATCAGAGGTGTGGCTCCTTCACTGGGGTGGCTGACCAATCACTATTGCCCCATCACTATTTGGGGAACATTCTCAAGGTCAAGTCGAACCCAATGAGAACGGGTCTTGAGAGACTGTACCTGGGCTGGGATCTCTGGGCTTGGGCAGAACTGGTTAGGGTGTCTACCCTAAATCATCAAGTCACTCATTCATCAAATATTTATTGAGGGCCCACTATGTGCCAAGAACTGTTCTAGGTGCCAAGGATATAGCAGTGAACAAAAGAAACAAAAATCCCCACAGGCATGAGGCCTATTTTTCTCATGGGGGAGACAGGTAATACATATGATAAGTAAATCACACGATGGTTCAAAAGGTGATAAATGCTATGGAAAACAATAGGGCAGAGTGAGGGGGATTGGGGAAGGATGGTCACTGCAGTGGTCAGGAGAGCCCTCGTTGAGGAGGTGAAAGAAATTAAAGGAATTAGCCTGGCAGACATCGGGGTCATGGCAAACCAAGTGCTCGGAAGTGGGAGTGTGCCTGGCAGGGTCAGGGAGCAGTGAGGTGGCCAGTGGGTCCGCAGTGAATAAGCGAGGGGGGGAGTTGGAAGATGGACTGAAACAGGAGCCACTGGAGGCTGCTGAGCGTGGAAATTCTATGACCGAATTTATCTGGATCCCTCTAGCTGCTGTGCTAGATTGTTAGGGCCAGGGGCAGAAGCAGACAGACCAGCCAGGAGACTGTTTCCATAATTCAGGCAAGATATGATGGTGGCTTGGATCAGAGTGGCAGCAGTGGATGTGGGGAGAAGTGGGGGACCCTGGGTATATTCTGAAGGGAGAGCGGTCAGGATTTTCTGACGGACTGGATGTGGGGTACGAGAGAAGAATATGTGTCAGGATGACTCCAGGACTTTTCACTTGAGCGTCTGCAAGGATGGCGTCGCCATGGATTGGTATGGGGAGGACTGTGTGTACATCAGGCTTGAGGTGGGAGATCAAGGGTTCAGGTTTGGATATGTTGGATTTAGGGGTGTATAAATCATTCAGGTGAAGAAGTTGAATAGGCAATAGCTTAAACGAGGCTGGAATTCAGGAAGAAATCCTGGGCTGGAAATATAAATTTCAGTCATTAATGTGTAGATAGCATTTGAAGCCACAAACCTGGATGAGATCACCAAGGAGAGATTGTGGATGGAGAGAGGAGTATGAACTGTCGTCCAGGAGGGAGGTCAGAGGTCAGAGCAGGAGAAGCAGGGCGAGGGGAGAGCAAGGCAGGCCAGGAAGTGGCTTAGAGGTCTATCAAGGCAAATGATTAAGGTCCAGGGGCCGTACTGGATGCTGGGATGACCAGAGGGAGTGGTAAGGGTGTTGGCTTCTAGTGGAGCATGTGTGGGAGCTGCCCAGGTATGTTAGGCCTAACGCACCAGTAAGACTGACATTGGAAAGAAAAGAAGAGGCGCAAATATTAGGTCGTTTAAGGTTTCATGAAGATAAAACAGGTCCGGGATGTTGATGGGGCTGCTGTGTTGCATCACCCCACCCTGGCAGCCGAGTGCCAGCTCCAGCCATTGAGTGGAGGCTCTCTGGAGTGGTTGGAGAGCGAATCTGAGGCTGCATCCTACGTCAGAAGAAAGGAGTTTTGTAGTCAGTTAGCAACGTCTGCCATGGGTGAGGCCTAGGAATTGAGGCTCCAGCATCATCCTGGTTCTAAAGCAGCCTCTTCCTGGCTTGCAGACAGCCACCTTCTCGCTGTGACTGCACATGACGGAGAGAGGGAGCTTTCAGTCTGTGTTCTCTCTTCTTCTTCTTTTTTTTTTTTTTTTTTTTTCGGTACGCGGGCCTCTCACTGTTGTGGCCTTTCCCGTTGCGGAGCACAGGCTCCGGACGCGCAGGCTTAGCGGCCGTGGCTCACGGGCCCAGCCGCTCCGCGGCATGTGGGATCCTCCCAGACCGGGGCACGAACCCGTGTCCCCTGCATCGGCAGACGGACTCTCAACCACTGCGCCACCAGGGAAGCCCTCTCTTCTTCTTATAAGGGCATTAATCCCATCATGGGGCCCCACCCTCGTGACCTCATCTAAACCTAATTATCTCTCAGAGGCCCCGCCTCCTTATACTATCACTCTGGCAGTTAGGGCTTCAACATATGAATTTGAGGGAGACACAAACATCTGGTCTATAATATAATGTAATAATGGGAGGGAGGAGAAGAGCACTACTGGAATTGAGTAGGCAGGGGCCAGAGATGCTAAATGTCCCGGATGTGAAGGACAGCCCTGCATAAAGAAGGACTGTCCTATCCGAAAATGAAGCACTGAGCACTAACCCATTTCTGGGTTCGATGTTATAATAAATACATTTGGCATTTGTGTAAGGATTTATACCTTCAGGCTCCTCTCCTTACTTTGCCTTGTGGCCTGGAAGTCTCTTGGCACCCTTCCCATAATGCATTCTTTCTCTGAAGGTCAGTCAAGCAGAGTATGTTTGGCCTTCCAGTAGTTGTGCCATTTCTTGCTGTTTCAGTATTGGGGGTGGGCAACCCAAAGGAAGAGAAGCAAGTCTTGTGAATTCACTTTATCCACTCCCCAGACTGTTTCCTGCACTCTCTACCTCTCTATTTTATCTTTCTCATTCATTCATTCATTCAGCAAGCATATTTGTTGAGCACCTTCTTGCAAACTCAACATCCTGCAGGGGTCAAGGGCATGTTTACACACTGGGTGACTAGTGGAGAGTATCTGCCCGTCTGAAGGGGATACCCACTACCCAACCCCAGCTGGTTGATGCTTTTATGGAAATGCAGGCCCAGAGTGCCATGCCTTCCAATTTTTTAAAGAAAGCTGGCCAATTCGATTTTCATAAGAAACACCCAATTTTATATATTGGCAACATATTCAGATTTTTCTAAGACACAGTAGGGCAAACAAAACACATCTGTAGCCCACCAGTTTCTGGCCTCTAAAGCCAGGCAAAGATATAAACTCATGATCTCTGCCTTCACACAGCTAATCACTAGTGTGGAGGCAGACACCAAAATGCTTGTTTTTCGAAGATATAACGCACACTGGGAACACAGTATCTCAACATGACTGGAGACTTCCCTGAAGTCTCAAAGGAGACTTCAGGGAAGAGAGAGTATTTGTGCTGAGAAGTGAAAGATGAATTGCCTGGTAGACAAGCCAACTGAGGGCATCCCAGGCAGAGGGAATGGCACATGCAGAGGTGTGGCAGTATGAGTGAGCATGGTGCTCGGGGAACTGTAGCTGGAGTACCAGGGGACAGACCACAAAGGCCACCACTGTGACAGAGAATAAGGTTGCGCTTTGCCAGCTGCCCTTGGGACCATTTGTCTTAATCGGTTGACTTTTGTTTTCCCCCCACCGAGCAGTTTCGGCAAGGTGGTGGTGCAGTAACCAAAATGCCCTCGAGGTGGCGCATAGGAGCAGCAAGACGGGCCTCCAGGGGCCTCTGCTCTGTCCTGGGGCAGGAGGATTTTTTAAGGAATCGGTGATGTCAGACCACAGGCTGGTGCTGGCACTGCCACATCCGGGGAGCAGAAGGAAGCTGCTGACAAATCCAGCACCCCCACTCCCGCCCCCGCCGATGATGCCCTCTCTGCAACTTGGCGCAGTTCCCAATCATGTGCATTGAAAGCAAAGTGAGCGTGGCTGCCTGATATGCCGTCCAGACACGAATCCCAGCCAGCCAGCCAGCTCCTAGCCAAGAGGAGGGACTAAGGCTGGGAGTGCCTTGCCAGGAAGGTGCGGGGGTGGGGGGGGGAAATACAGCAGGCCGCCCAGCCTAGTCCAGGTAAGGGGACTCTGGAAAACTGCGCTTTTTAGAGACACAGTGAGATGTGTTGAAAAGAATTTGGAAGACAGAGCTAGATGTGTGGTCTGACTCTGCCATTTGCAAGTTGGATAACCTTGAGAGAGTCAGTTCAACTCTCTGAGCCTCAGTCTATTGAACTGTAAGATGGGGATAACTATGACCCCACCTCTCAAGGTCACTGTGAGGATCAAATGAGATAACGAAATGCTTAGCACCATCCCTAACCCAAACGAGTGCTCAATAGATGCATAATGCTTCGTAATAATACTCACACTTAATGTGGCAATCTCTGTAAGCAGTCCGTGTCTGGAACTCCCTTAGGTGCTTTATTCTTCTAAGCAACTCTGTAATGTGGGTACTATTGTTTTCTCCATTTACATGTGAGAAGACTGAGGCACCTAGAGGTTAAGGAACTGACCCAAGGTCAAATAGCTACTAGGTGGTGCTGTCGGACACTGAACCTGGGAGTTTGACTCTGGGGCCTGGGTTCTTAATAAATATACCATCCCAGTGTGGCTGTCCCCAAAATGACAACTGCTGTTAATGTTTCTTACTATTATGCCTCCTTCCAAACAGTGTGCTACTGACTCCTGGTGGCTCCCCGTTGGTGAGTGCTAGACATTGAGGATGTGGTGATGGGCACACAGGTCAGTGAAGGGCAGCACCAGGAAGAATCTGGGGCTCCATCCCAGCTGTAGGAGATGGGTTGGCCCAGGCTGTGGGAGTTGACAGACGGTGGCTCAGAGGGAGATCCCTCTCTTAAGCCTAGAGAAGTGGGGCAGCTGGTTTTCCAAACAGGACCTGCCCCTGCCCATTTCAGCTCTGTCTAGAGCCCTGGATGTGCCTTTCATCTCTTTGTGGCCAACTCCCTCAATTCCTCATCTATTCATTCATTTGACAGAGATTTATCATGTGTCTACCTAGAGCCTTGTCACAGGTGCTGGAAGACAGTGGCGAACCAGCTGATGGGGTCCTCATACTCTGGGACCTGTAATCTGGAGATGGAGGCAGACAGTGTTTATAAACACATAAACAAGTTAATTTTAGACTTGGATAAGTGCTGTGAATGAAAGAAATCAGGTCATGTGCTAGAGAGTTACAGGGCAGGACAGTCGGCTTGGCTGAGGTGGTCAGGGAAGGCCTCCCTGAGAATGTGACATTTGAGCTGAGACCTGCCTGGTGGGAAAGCACCAGTCATCAGTTGTAGGAAAAGCTGGAGGAGGAAGAGACTTCCAGGAGGAGGGACCAGCCAGTGCAAAGGCACTGTGGTGGGAGTGATAGGTGTATTTAAGAAACAGAAAGCAGCAGTGCAGTGGGGGACTTCAGTGAACTGTGAGGGGAGTAGGGCATGAGATTAGGTCAGAAGGGGAGACAGGGGCCAGATGTAGAGGGGAGGGTAGGAGGCCATGGTGAGGAGTTTGACTTTATGCTGAAAATGATTGGAAGCTGTTAGAGGGTCAGAAGCAGGGGAGCGATGGGATCAGCAACCCTCCAGGCTGCTGTGTGGCAAATAGATTGTAAGGAGGGCAAGAGGAGACCAGCTTTGGGGCTATTGTGCCTGTGCAGGTGAGAGCCCAGGGACTGAGACCAGGGTTGGGTGCAGGGGGATTCATTTTGGTCGCAGGCAGCCCTTAGACTTTAGAGTTTATACCCTTCCCAGCCTTCCCGCACCCACACCTTTACTCCCGCTGAAATCTGACTACGGGAGAGAGCTGGTTGGATCTCAGCTTCCCTGTCCCTCCCTGTGCTCTGCTGCCAGGCAACCCACTTGTCAGACAGAGCTGGGTAGAATCCAGGGTAAATTAATCTAGAAGAGTAAAGTTCAAACTGCATAAAAAAAAATAAAAGCTAGGGAATCCCTTTGGACAAAATTTTTGGGAATTCAAAATGTAAACCTTGGGAGTTCCCTGGTGGTCCAGTGGTTAGGACTTGGTGCTTTCACTGCCCTGGGTCTGGGTTCAATCTCAGGTTGGGGAACTATGAAAAAAAAACCCATAAACCTTAAAAGGGGAGAGCCTTCCCTCCTCAGACCACCCCACTTCTGTGGCAGCACTGAGACACCTTTGAGGAACCTCAAGGCTCCAGAGAACACAGAACTCTCAGTGGTCCAAGGGTATCTATGGTGACAGAGGGGATCCAAGGTTAGGACAAATAGCACAAGTTGGGGGACGAGGAGGCAGACGGCAGAATTCACACTGATCAGTGTTCAGCAAGTTGTCAGATGGGATTCTCTTGTAACCCCAGGTGTTAAACACATGGAAGCTTGAGCTACTCAGCCAGCCTCACTCCCAGACACAATTTCTTGGGCTTGACTTTTCAGAAGCCCAGCATCATCTTCACTAGTATTAAGTACGCTCATATTGCTGTACAACCATCACCGCCATCCATCTCCAGAACTTCTTCATCATCTGAAACTGAAACTCTATACTCTTTAAATAATAACTCCCCATTCTCCCCTCCCCCAGCCCCATTCTACTCTATGAATCTGACTACTCTAGGTACTTCATATTAGTGGCCGCTTACAATATTTGTCCTTTTGTATCTGGCTTACTTCACTTATCGTAATGTCTTCAAAGTTGTAGCATGTTTCAGAAATCCATTCCTTTTATAGCTGAATAATATTCCATTGTGTTATATACCACATTTTATTCGTACATTCATCTACTGATGGACACTTGGGTTGCTTCCACCTTTTGCTGGTGGCTTCTTGAGAACAGGAAGACAGGAAGCTTCTGGTCTGAGCCATCAGCACAGAGGGACCATTCACGATTGTCAGATGTTAACAAACAAAAAAAGTGTTTCTCATGACAAAAGTATCAATAGATATATTCTTTATAGAAGACTTAGAAAATATGTATAAGTGAAAGAAGAAAATGAAAATCTCCTATAATCCCATCTCAGAGAGATAATTGCTATTAACATGGTGTTATGGTCTGAATATGTGTGATCCCTCAAAATTCATATGTTAAAGCCCCAACCCCCAATCTGACTGTATTTGGAGATAGGGCCTTTATGGAGGTAATTAAGGTTAAATGAGGTCATGAGGGTGGAACCCTGATCCAATAGGATTAGCATCTTTATAAGAGACACCTTGAGAGCTCACTTGCTCTCTCTCCACCACGTGAGGGCTTAGCAAGAAAGAGGCTGTCTACAAGCCAGGAAGAGAGCTCTCACCAGAAACCAAATAAACCAACGCCTTGATCTTGGACTTCCCGGTCTCCAGAACTGTGAGAAATGAATTTCTGTTAGGTCACGCAGTCTATAGTATTTTGTTATGGCAGCCCGAGCTAAGACACATGGTTATCCTTCCAGTTCATATATATTTGTGGTCTTTTAAGCCAAAACCAAAATGGGATCATTCTTAGGCAGTGTATCATAGGAGTCAAGAGCATAGACATTGGAATCAGGTAGATCTAGGTTCAAATCTTAGCGTTGTAACTTTAGGCAGATCTCAGTAGTGTGACTCTGTTTCCTCATCGGCAAATGGGGGTGATTTACAGTATCTACTTCCAAGGACTGCTGTGAGGATCAAATTAGAAAATGCTCCTAAAGTGCCTGGCACAGTTCCTGGCACATGGTTAAAGACCATTCTCTTAAGTGGTGGCAAATGCATTATTCACTGGACTGTAGTGAGGGAACTTTTCTGGTTTGTCTGCTTTATCCCTTGTTCTTAGCACAGTACCTGGAAAATAGGTGCCTAATATTTATTGAATGAGTGAATAGATGGTTCTGTGAGAGCAGATAGAGAGAGCAGCTAGCATGGTGCCTGGTGGATGATAGAGTTATTGGCATCGTTACACTTTCTGTAAGCTCTCAGTAGAGCGCAGTGGTTGGCTAAGTGCCTGGGTACCAGAGTTCACCCTCTTGGGTTTCAATTCTGGTTCTTCTGGTTTCCAGATATGTGACCTGTCATATTATTTTAAATGCATCTCTCTAAAATGCACTTTAAAATATAACTCTAAAATGGGGCTACGTATAGTACAGACCTCATGGGGCTGTTAGGAATATTAAATGAGATGATCCTTGTCAAGTGCCTAAAACAGTACCTTCCGGACTTCCCTGGCCATCCAGTGGTTAAGACTGCACGCTTCCAATTCAGGGGACTCGGGTTCGATCCCTGGTCGGGGAAATAAGGTCCCACATGCTGTGCAGCCAAAAAAAAAAAAAAAAATAGTACTTTCCTCATATGGTTTTTATGAGGATTAAAGGAGATCATCCATAAAAACATCTAGAATGGTGCTCAGTAAATGCTTTATTCACTTAATGTCAAAATGTCTATTACTGACTTTCATCCTCAGATCAAACAGTGGCAAATCGAAAGGAGAGACTCCCAGAACACCCAGCAGCCCCTCGAGCCCCACCTTTGCCCCTTCTGTCTGCGTCCTGGCACCCTGCTATCTCACGGGGGACTCTGTCCGGGACAAGTGTGTGGAGATGCTCTCTGCAGCCCTGAAGGCGGATGGTGAGAGGGCCTGGGCCAGGGACGGGGGAGGGAGGGCTTCCCAAGGTCAGGGAGAGGTGGTCTTTCTCAGCACCCTGAAAGTGGTACAGGATGTTAGAGTCCCCTGTCCAAGCAGGCCTCACTGCCAAGGTCATCTCCAGCTGATGTCTGTGTTTCCCGAATCTCTTTCAGACGATTACAAGGACTATGGGGTCAACTGTGACAAGATGGCATCAGAAATCGAAGACCATATCCTTGAGCTGTGCCAGGGCTGTGGGTGCCTGAACTGTCCAGCGGCAGGTCTCCCAAGTACAAGGGATCCAGGACAGTGAGTGGGCAGTGGAAGGACTCAGGCATAGGCCCCTGCTCTGCCCCTGAACCTGAGTTCTTAATTCTAGCTAACATCTATTAAGTTTGGCACCTGCTGGCCTTTTGATAAGCTGTTTACGAGCAGTACATCATTTCACGTTGAGAACAATCCCACAAGGTAGGTTCCCTGTGGGATTAATCCCATTTTACAGATGAGGTAACTGAGGCTAAAAGCAGCTAAGTTACATGCCCAAGCTCATACAGTCAATAGTAGTGGCAGAGTTGGGATGATCTGAGCTCAGAAAATGTGACTGTAGAACCTGAGGGCTCAGACAGGCTGTGTCTTTTTTTTAAGATTTTTTTTTTTTGATGTGGACCATTTTTTGAAGTCTTTGTTGAATTTGTTACAATATTGCTTCTGTTTTATGTTTTGGTTTTTGGCCACGGGACATGTGGGATCTTAACTCCCCAACCAGGGATCGAACCTGCATCCCCTACATTGGAAGGTGAAGTCTTAACCACTGGACCTCCAGGGAAGTCCTCAGGCTGTGTCTTGACGTGCCTGGGTTGTGACATTGTCAATGAGTCGAGACAGGGAGAGAGGACAGCATTCCTTGTGCTCAGCCCTTCCCTCTCTTCCTCCTCTGAAGATAACAGCTCCCATGTTTGACCCCCTAATATGTACCAGGCACTGTGTCCTGGGCAATTGACACTTCCTATCTCTGTTAATACTTGCAATAATCTCTGTGAGGCAGAGGCTGTTGTTCCCATTTTACAGATGAGGAAACTGAGGCTCAGGAACTACTGAGTATCAAAGCTGAACTGAAAACCTTGGTCTTTGGATTCCATGTCCTGAGTTCTTCCCTTATGCGCCATGCTTCCACTATCTGAAAGCAGCCTTGTCTAGACAGAGGAGGTGACTACCATGTGATATGGCCGATTGCACCGAAAGATTTTTTTTTTTGGTCGCACCACACAGCATTCAGGGATCTTAGTCCCCTGACCAGGTATCAAACCCGGGCCCCCTGCAGTGGTAGCGTGGAGTCCTAACCACTGGACCACTGGGGAATTCCCAAGATTTCTGTTTTGGAGGGGGAATCCCTCCACACTGTGCCCCACTGAATGAATGCATGGAATTCCTTTTACTGGAGACAAAGCTTTGCATATCAAAAAGGTATGGAGGGTGGGAACAGAATCCCCAGGGAACAGGGGTCTGAGTGTCCCATTAAGGCCCTTTTCTGGCCTTCTGGGCTCTACCTAGGGGCTCAGCTGGGGTTGGGAAGGTACAGGGGCCATCTCAGAAAACAAACTTCCTGCTTCCATCTCCTGCCTGAGAACCACCCTATCATCTTTCAACATATCTGGGAGTTTCCCTCCGCCATCATTTAGTTATTAACCAGCACTTCTTGAGCTAATCTAACACCTCTCCAAGTACATTTTCATAATTTCCAGTTAATTCAGTAACACAGAACATGAGGTATCAGAACTCTCAGGAGCTTCATCTTTGTTTTCTCCCAAACAGTTGTCCCTCCAAGCAGGTCCCTCCACCTTCAAGCCCAGTTGAGACAAAGGTGGATGATCCAGTCCATAGTTCCACTGCTGGCCTTCCCTCCTCTGAACGACCCTCTTCTGAAGGACAGGAAATCAAAGCTGCACCAACGCTTTAGCTCTTTGTTCTTAGGCGGTGGGAAGTCAGGGGAAGGATAAATTTGGGGGCTTGAAAGCTCTATGTCCTAAAAAAGATCTGACCTCTTTGGAGCAACCCAGGACTAACATGGCAGCCGTGGGGCTCACATATGCTCGTCTTGGGGGTGGGGGCCTATGATCCCTAGGTCTGCACTCCACCTCATCCCCCTCTGTGACCTCAGGAAATGGAGGCAGACTCAGGAAGAGGCTGATGAAAGGATTGCCAGCCCTGCTGTCCCCACATATCAAGCAAATCCCCACCTCCAAGAATCTCAAACACGGATTTTTAAACAAATATTTTGGCTTTCAAATGGATTAGGGCATATTCTTTCTTTTCATAGTTGTATTGTGCAAACAACAATCAAGGAAAACATAAATAATACCACCTTCCCTCCCGCCACTTTGAGAAAGCCAGCTGTGTCCATTTTCCCACATTCCCCACGTTCTCTTTCTTGTATATGGTTTTTCCCAGCAAAGGCTTCATCTTCCTGATTCTTCTTGGCTTAGGAGACCAAGAAAATGTGGCTTTGTTCCCTGAGGTCCTCCAGAGGATGGAGAAGGGGGGTGGGGAGGCCTGTCTGGGATGCAGTGTCTGGACAGATAACTCACTGTGGTCGGTGGCCAGGGGCAACTTCCTGCGGGGTGAGTGGAGAGAGCATTACGGTTAGGAGGGGGTCTGGCTTCCAGCCTTGGCTCTGCTGGGAATGTGCCCTGTGACCTTGAGCAAGGGCCTGCACCCTTTCTAAGCCTCATCTTCTTCATCTATTAATGAGCAAAGTAACTCTGACCAGCAATTCCCAAAGTGGGTTCCACGATAGGTATTCCCAGAGAAAAGGGAGGAGGGGCAGGCAGGTGGGTCTATGCTCTAATATGTTGGCAACACCAGAGTAAACAAAACTCAACGATTTCTTTATTGCAATACTGCCTGGAGCCTTAGACACGTGGCCCCTAATCTTATCTTATGTTTTCCTCTGATGGCTGGACTTAACAACTTCCAGAGGCCCTTTCAAACTAGAGGCTATCGTCATCACTATCATCTTAGCCCCTAAATGTTGAGCACTTGACATGCCCCAGACACCACGCTAGTGCCTCATGCAGCTTAGCTCACGGAATCCTCATAACGGCCTTTTATTTATAAATAAGGAAGCCGAGGCCCAAAAGAGGTCATGGGACTCACCTGAGGTCACACAGGAGGCTCAGACAAACCCAGGCTGCCCATTCCTGGGGTCCCTGACACCACAGTGCTTGAGATGACCTGCTGTCACCTTGGAGGCTATTTCCTTTCCTTGATATGCAGCCCCCAAATGCCCAAGTGAGACCCCCTACTTGGGGAGTCAGAGGCCACAAAGGTGCCTGACCACTTGTAAAAGTCCAAGGAAAGGAAGAGGTGGCCTTGCAGCTCCTCGGCCTTCAGGGACAGGCTCCCCGTCCTTCTGCGCTCCTCTGCAAGTGGCTGGCCGGCCCTTGACTATGTCACGTATCTACCAGGAGCTCAAGAGCACAGATATGAAGTACCGGAACCGCGTGCGCAGCCGCATCAGCAACCTCAAGGACCCCAGGAACCCCGGCCTGAGGCGGAACGTGCTCAGCGGGGCCATCTCCTCTGGGCTCATTGCCAAGATGACGGCAGAGGTGAGAGTAGGGGCCGGGACCTCTGTGTGGTGGGACAAGGGGCCGGGCCCCTCCAGCCTTGCCCAAGTCTGAGAGGCAGTGGCTTGTAACTCAGTGATGAACCAGGGGCTTCCCTAGCCGGACCATCTAAGACTCCCCATCCCTCAGGGCCCCTGGACCATCAGGACAGTGAACACAGCTACCATGTCTTCAGCACTGTGCTACTCGCTTCGGTGTGTTGGCCAGTTCTAGCTTCACACCAACCGAGACAGAAATGTTTATCATCTCCATCTTATGGGCGAGGATACTGAGGCTCAGAGGACTTAAGTGACCTGCCCGTGCACACAGCTAGAAAAGGTCGATGCCAGGAGCCAAGCTGTCTGGCCCCGGAGCACCCTCTCCTCCCTGCCTTGTGATCTGCCTCCCTCTTCTGCCTCGTTCAGTCCTATATCCCATTACTCAGCTCTGGGCCAAAGCCAGAATCGGAGTCCCTGACTCCATGGAGCACAGCCCAAGGTGCGGGGACAGACATGTATACAAATACATATGATACAGAGGTGGTGGCTGCCATGACAGAGCCACCACGGGAGCTTACAGGAGGGAAGGACTGACCCAGTTTGAAGGGGTCAGTAAGGGAAGGTAAAGGGAACAAGCCTGTTTGAGGAAGTATGTGCAGTGGTTAGAAGCTCGGGGCCTGGGCCGAACTGCCCGGGTTTGACTTCTGCCTGTGCCACTTAGCTGTGTGATCTTAGACCAGCCAGTTAACCCCTTTGTGTCTCAGTTTTCTCGTCCGTAAAGTGGAAGTAATAACAGCTATCCCATGAAGGATTGAATGAGTTAACACATGTGAAGTGTTTAGAAGGTTAAGGCAAGTAAAGCCCTCCCAGGAATTAGTATATGTTAGGCCCATTCACTGGCCATTTCATCACAGTGCTATCAAAGAGGAAATATTATCCCCATTTTGTGGATGAGAAAACTGAGGCCACCCTCAGCTCATAAGTGATGATGAGGATTTGATCCCAGATCTGTTTATTTCAGAGTCTCTGTCTTGGAAAGACCTTTGTACACCCTCAGGTATGAGTGGCTCTTTGCTGCCAGAGCTAACTCAGGGGATTCCCCGCAAGCACGTGGCAATGGCACTGCTAAAGCGCTACTAAATCCAAGCGGCCCAGAGAAGGGGAGGGGAAACGCACTGACGTCCTGGAGTCTGGGTGTGCCTTGGGGTGTCTGGGAACCCTCTGAAACTATTGTCAAGAGTGTGCCTCTGTGTGTTTATGGTGTGCATGATGTGTATGTACGTGTGGTTTGTGTGATGTAGCGTGTGTGTGTGTGGGGTGTCTGTGGTTAGTGTATGCAGGTGCGTGCTGTGTGTGTTATGTAATATGTACGTGTACATTTTTCTGAGAAGAGGGTTTGCTGCTTTCCTCAAATACCCAAAATTTTACAAAGAGCCCTGGCTTTAGGATAAAATGGGGAACTTGGCACAGGTGGACAGGGATATCTTTTGGCTTAATCTAAAATATATGCTCTTTTTAGGCAAATAACAACATATACCCAGAGTTACAAATTGCAACTTGGCTTAACAGAGTATTATCCTTCCCTGTGAGGTGAAGCTGTGACTTGGATGGGAATCCAGCCTGCATTTCCTTCTCTCTGGCCCTCACCCTGTGGCTCTGGGGTCCCTCTGCTTCTCTTTGTGTGTGTGTCGTGGGAATGCTATCAAGAGACTGTCTTACAGGCAGTTCCAGAAACATTGGGAAACCAGGCCCTGGAGAACCAAGAGCAAGGTGTAGGCACAGGTGTGAGCCAAACCCAGCAAGTTCCCAGAAGCTGGAGGCCAGAACAGAGCTGGGTGACTGAATTAGGACAAAGACAGGCCCCAGAAGTCTCAGCAAAGGAACCGGCCAAGTCTGGCCCCATCCAAGGACTATTCACTAGAACAGGGCAAGAGAATCGGGTGATCAACACAGGCCCAAGAAGAGGCTGACCAGGCCAAAGGCAGCAAGCCAGGACTGCATCACGCCCTCCACAGGGACTGCCAATGCCAGCCGCTGAGGAGCCCCCTGCCCGCAACCCAGGCAACGGAGGCCCAGGAGCCCTCCTTCCTGGGGTCAACTTTTGCTCTAGGCAGGAAGCTTTTATAAGAAATAGAGGATCGGACTTCCCTGGTGGTCCAGTGGTTAAGACTCTGTGCTCCCAATGCAGGGGGCCCAGGTTCGATCCCTGGTCAGGGAACTAGATCCCGTGTGCTGCAACTAAAAGATCCCACATGCCGCAGCTAAGACTTGGTGCAGCCAAATAAATAAATTTCTTAAAAAAAAAAAAAAAAAGAAATATAGGACCATTTTTGCTCCAGGAAGAAAAATAACAGGGACTTCCCTGGTGGTCCAGTGGTAAAGAATCCGCCTTCCAATGAAGGGGGTGCAGGTGCGATCCCTGGTCAGGGAACTAAGATTCCACATGCTGCAGAGCAGCTAAGCCCATGCGCCACAACTAGAGAGAAGCCCGTGCACCACAACGAGTGCATGATCCCACGTGCCGCAATGAAGATCCCGTGTACCGCAACGAAGACCCGACACAGCCAAATAAATAAATATTTTTAAAAAGATGGGGCTTCCCTGGTGGCACAGTGGTTGGGAGTCCGCCTGCCGATGCGGGGGGCACGGGTTCGTGCCCCGGTCTGGGGGGGATCCCATGTGCCGCGGAGTGGCCGGGCCCGTGAGCCGTGGGCCATGGCCGCTGAGCCTGCGCGTCCGGAGCCTGTGCTCCGCAACGGGAGAGGCCACAACAGTGAGAAGCCCGCGTACTGCAAAAAAAAAGAAAAAAAAAAGAAAAAAGAAAAATAATAGCTTGGGGTTGGGCTGCCTGCTATGCGGTGGCTCAGAGGCCAGAGGCTCCCGTCAGGCAGAGCCTGGGGCAGCTGATGCCTGTGTGAGTGAGTAGACGTCCCTCTCTGCCGCCTGTGTCTCCCCAACTCCCTTTTTATGTCTCTTTCCTGGTCCACCTGATTCCCTCATTCTTCCTCCTCTCTTTTTCTCTCAAACCCAGATGATTCAAAGAATGGGGCAGATTCTGAGATACCCATTAGAGCTGTTGAGTGGACATACTGGCAGCCCACAAGGAGAGGGGTTTTGTTCCCAGCGTCAAAGCCAGTGCCTGGTGTGTCAATAAGTACTCAACAAATATTTAGCAAATTCACATTGTACATGACGTGAAGATCCAGTGTCATCTCTACACTTATTTTCCTCATTTTCGACCTTATTTTCTATATTACTGTACTGACCCCGTGTGTCTTTGATGCTGCCTCCTAAATGAGGCAGGAAGAATTAGGTAAATGGATTGGTAAGTGGATAGAGTTCTCCTGATCTCTATTTCTTTTCTTTTCTTTTTTTTTTTTAATTGAAGCGTAGTTGATTTCCTGTTTATTTCTCAGCTGGCACAGTCTGACCCACAGCCACGTCTCCCACACTGCTCACCTTGACCCACACTGAGTACCCTCCCCCAAACATGTTATTCTTGTCCTCTGATCTCTGGCACCTATCATTCTCTTGTGCCATCCCCCTCAGGAAGTCCTGCTTATCTTTCAAGACTGGTGAAGGTGTCAGCTTCTTTAATGAGCCTACCTGCCCCCATATGGGCTTTCCCTACACTTTGTATACCTTTGCTTTAGTACCTCCTACACTATCTTGCAATCTTGCTTAAATGTTTGGCTGTTCTACTAGATTAGCATTACCTGGGGACAGGAACCAAATCAGGTCTGAATCCTTAGGGCTTAGAGGCAGTGGTAGGCTGGAGCCAGCTCCTACCAGCTCAAGAGAGATGATTATGTGTAGCTCTTCCCAACTCTGCATTCAGTTATATCACATTAGTAGCTTGAAGATGGCCATGGTGGGAGTGTTTACACCGTGGAAATCGGTAAATGCTACAAATTAGCCACCACTGCAGCCAAAGCCAGTTTACCAGCACACCAGCGCAGTGAAAGGCATTCAAGAAATTGACATCCAATACATTTTGAATGAATAAATGTATTATGCTCTGGAAAGTCCCCCAACATTAAAGTCAGCTGCTTTTTGCTTATATGGCCTGGGGTTGACTTGTTTTTGTATATACCCCTGCCATTGGTTAGGACCTAGTCCTTGAATTTGACACAGTAGGACATTCGTGTGTGTACTAGGATAACTTGGGGGCACTAATAAAAATGCATATTCCTGGACCTGCCCTTAGAGTTTTGGATTCATAGGAATCTGCATTTTGTCAAGAAACCCAAGTGGTTATAATGTAGCAGTCAGCATACTAAATTCGTTTGACCTTTGTACCAACTCTGTTCTCCACAGTTCAAGGGGTCAAGCTAGATGGCAATAATTAAAATGTTTAGCCAGTGCCAGATCCTCTTTAAAAAAAAAAAAGTTTCGTTGTTTCTTTTTTTTTTTTTTTTGGCCGTGCCTCATGGCTTGCGGGATCTTAGTTCCCTGACCGGGGATTGAACCCAGGCCACAGCAGTGAAAGCACTGAATCCTAACCAGTAGACCACCAGGGAACTCCCCAAATCTTTTAACATTAGCTTCGGGACTTCCCCAGCGGTCCAGTGGCTGGGACTTTGCCTTCCAGTGCAAGGGGTGTGTGTTCCATCCCTGGCTGGGGAGCTGGGATCCCCCACGCCTCTCGGCCGAAAAACCAAAGCATAAAAGTGGAGGCAGTGTTGTGACAGATTCATTAAAGACTTTAGAAATGGTCCACATCAAAAAAATCTTAAAAAGGAAAAAAATTAGCTTCAGCCATCTTCCTCCCCCCAAACCAACACTAACTAGAGCTCTCTCCAGTTTGAGTGTCTCCCTCTCTGCTCTCTTCTGGAAGACGTTCAAGGCAAGTCAAATGGCCAGGGGAGGGACAGAAAAGGGGAGGACCTGGATAATGCAGACACTAAGTGCCTACAGTGAGCTGACGAGAGACAGGAGGCTCTGTTCTGTAGGAACTTATAGAAGAAGATATTCCATGATGCAATCACAGGTGAGCAGTTAGTTGTGTGAACCCAGGAGCTTCAGGTCCTGCTTGGGTGGGGTTAACAGCAGTAAGTCATGAATAGTCGAGACCAAGGTTCCCACCAGGCAGAATGGCCTGGCCGGGCAGGGATCCCAGCTCAGAGGGGCAGTGGGTCAAGTCCAGACTGGAAGGACAAGGGGAACATCATAGATCAGGTGGTCAGTAATCAAGTCAGATTAAGCAGGAAGGTACACAAGAGTACCTGAGGAGATGTACACAAGAGTGTTGATCCTGGGGGAAGCTGTTTGCCTTGTACCCTCCTATATGTGCCCTACTGTACTTGGCCCAGTTGGAGCACCCGAGTTTGACCTTCCACCCAAAGGCAGAATGGGGACTCTTCTGATAAAGGCTTTTCCCAGCTGGGACAGGGCCAGGGCTCCTGGGGCTCCCTGGCCCTGAAGGGCAGACTCATTTCTCTCCAGGAAATGGCCAGTGATGAGCTGAGGGAGTTGAGGAACGCCATGACCCAAGAGGCCATCCGTGAGCACCAGATGGCCAAGACAGGCGGCACCACCACCGACCTCTTCCAGTGCAGCAAATGCAAGAAGAAGAACTGCACCTATAACCAGGTATGGGGTGGGGGAGGGGCCAGTGGGGGAGGAGGTGACAGGGGCCAGGAGAAGCTTAGGGACAAGCCAGCGGGGAGAAAGGGCTAAAACCCTGGGCTGCAGAGAGAAGGGCAAGTCTTGGTACACCAACATGATACATCTGTGGCTTCTAGAAAAGATGCATGCAGAAGCACCCAGATCTGAGTCTGTGAGGCTTGGCCAGCGTGTTCTGGCCTGCCCTGAAGCAAGAATAAGAGGGACCAGACTCACAGGGCACAGAACAACTGTACAGTCACAAGTGGTTGGAAGGGAACTTAGCAATAAAAACTCTGCTCGCTCAGTTTACACACAAGGAAGCCAAGGTCCAGACGGGGACAAGTTTTGCGGCTTTGTCTAAAGTGGCAAAGACAGTGGCAGAGATGTTAATAAACCCAGATCCAGACCTTTCTGCCTGCAATACAGCCAACTTGGTAGTGAAGCCTAAGGGATTTAGCCCCGAGTCGTAAGGTAAGGGTGAAGACCACTGCCCTGGCATGGGGAGCCGTGGGAGGCTGTGGAGGCCTCTTCTTTGAGACTTAAAAGCTGTTTCTGGGTTGTATGTGTTATGCCCTTGGGGCACCAATATTCTTGGATTCTAACTGGTGCTTTGTCACTCTAGAACTCTGTTCGTTCCCCCATCTGCTCTCAAGCAAGATTTATCAGAGCACCTTGCCCTTGGGGATCTGTGGCTACAGCAGAAATAGTGAGCCTTGCCCTTCAGGAGTCTCTTGGAGAATTCTAGTTCAGGAATCTGGAGATGTGTGTGCAAGTTCCTGCTCCCTTCCAAGCACGTTTCCCTGTGGAGTGACATGCCTCCTGTGCATCGCCTCCCACCAGAAGTCAAATGCCCATTCGCAAAGTTCTCTCTCCACAGAGAGACCCCAGTGGTATCCTTCCTCAGGTGTCATTGCTCTGCAGTGACAAGGCTGTGCTAGGCTGTGTCCTCCTGGCCCACTGCTGGACTCACCCATTAGCAGGGGGATTTCCCCCCGCTCCACAGACTCCAGCTGACATGTTCATAGCTGAGTGTCCACAAAGCAACAACTTGCTACATGTCATGGCCATCCAGGGTTGGCTGCAGAAAATCAGAACAGCAATTGTTAAATCTGGAAATACCAGGGATTTGCTGTGGGAAACCTGGTTTCTGCGCCTGAATGGTCTGGTTAAGGGGATGAGAAACTAGAAAACAATATTAAATATCCCCAATGATCTTCAAATCCCTTTTCCTCTCTGGGTCTCAGTTCTTCCACCTGTAAAATAAACAACAAACTGGATGATCCCTAAGGTTGCTTCCAGCTCACTCAGTTCTGATCAGAGAGGTACATCCAATAGGATGTGTTCATTTTTCCAGTAGGAGATGAGTCTTGAAGCAAGAGAAGACAGATCAGTTCGGAAGAATCAACAACAAAGAGTGAGAGTGCAAAGGTCAGGTTGAGCCAGGGAGATACTGGAAGTGAGCTGATGGAAAACATATGAATACACAATGGAATTCTTAGTGATAAGGGAATTGCCAAAGTGGAGTGGGAGTAATGGTGCCAGCCTCTGGGATTTGGACCTCCTTCTACAGACAGTGGGAGCCATAGCAGGTCCTAGAGCAGGAAAGTGACTTCATGAGTGGTCCCTGCTCTCTTTTTCTCTCAGGTGCAGACACGCAGTGCTGATGAGCCCATGACTACCTTTGTCTTATGCAATGAATGTGGCAATCGCTGGAAGGTCTGTATTATCTGTATCTGTATCTTTCTTCCTTCCCTGTCATCCACAGATGCTGCCCACATAAGGAGTAGGATGCCCACAGCCCAAAAGGGGCCTCATACACGGGGGGCTTGCCAGCCTCCACAGAGCAGGCCTGCAGAGCTGGAGATAGTGGTGGGTTGTTTTGGGGAGGTGGGGACACTGTACATGTGTATGTGCATGTTTTTTTTTGGAAAGCACCCAGCTGGGGTGGGGACAGCAGGCCGCATTTTATCACAGGAAGGGCAAGTCTGTCATTTGAACACAGATGGAATCAGCCTCCTGGGATCCACAGAGGGGAGGAAAAACAATAGCACTCTGCATTTGGACCACGCCTCTCTGCAAAGTGGTTCCACAGATGGTCTTTCCTTTGGACCTGGTCACAGCCAGGGATGAGGAGACAGCGTTGCCCCCAGACGCTCCCAGGTCATCCTCCCCTCCTAGAACAGCTCTGGAAAAGCCTTACATTACCCAAGGCTGTAACCCAGGTGGGCCCCAGCCCCTGCAAAGGCAGCGGTTTTGTTTTCAGGCATGGGAGCCAAGCAAAGACTCCCTTCACAGTGCTCCTTCCTGCCTCGTCTTCTGAAACAACTGAGTGTGGTCACATGGTTAATGTACGGTTACAGTACCATCTGACTTGCATGTGTGCTGTGTAATGTCTGGGCCACCGGGCAGGCTGCAGGTGCTCCTAAAATTGTAAGGTACTTAGCAAGGACTGAGCATGGGACTGGGAGTCAGGAGCCCTGGTTTCAGGTCTCCGCTCTGCCCTACTCGCTGGGTGACCCTGAGCGTGTCACTCTCCTCCCATGGTTGATGTGACGATTATTACATATGCACACACACTTTGCAACAACTAAGAGAAATGTTCCTTTATAATATTACTCTCATTTTCAGATGAGGAAATTGAGCTACTGAAATGGTTAACAAGCATAAAGTCACAGAGTTTCGAGCACCGAAAGACAGTACTCCACATTCCTGATCGATTGAGTTTTCTACAACTTTATGTAGGGCCTCAACAGCCATGGGGCCTCATAAGAACTGCCATGTATTTTAGGGTAAAAGTCAGACAATTATGTATTTTTCTTTTATTCACTTATTGAGCACTTAGGGATGGGGCCAGTATAATGGCCTACTGGTTTAGAGCATGGGCTTTGGTATCAGGCTCAAATCCTAGCTTTATGACTTACAAGGTGACTTTGCTAAATGACCTGAACTCTCTAGGCCTGGATTTCCTCATCTATAAAATAAGGGTGGGAATACTTAGCCCACAGAGCCGTTTTGAGGATTGAGAAGGTAATACACATAAAGAATTAACAGGGCCTCTGATAGCTCATGTGGTATCTTTGTCAAATTAGAAAGAAGTGTCCTTGCCTCCATGTAGACACAGCCTTGCACCAGGGTACAGAGCTTGGCAATGAGCAGGGGCTGAGTTTCAGCCCCAACCTGCCCCTTTGGCCAAGCTCTCTTGTGCAGTGAACAAGCTGTACAGCCATACAAAAAAGCCCTGAGCACATACGTGCCTGGTACATAGAAACCACCATTCTTATTATTGTGAGTTTGTTACCTATTAGTATTATGGGAGCTTCGGCAAGTCATTTAACCTGTCTGAATTGCTTCTTTACCTGTGAAAATGGAAGAGATATGACGGTGCCTATCTCACAGGGTGGCTGTGAGGATGAAATGAATTAATATACGTTAATGCCGCCTAGCCCAGAGTAAGTGCTCAATCAGTTGTAGCTATTGTGTTACTATTGGGCAAAAGCTCCAAACCCAGCTCCTCCTCCCTGATTCCTGGAGAGAAACTGGAATTTGGAAGTTGGAGAGGCAGGTCCCACTAGAGGTGGCAGCTACATGGCTTCTGACAAAATTTTCAGGTAGTGTCCATTGCCACGTGGGAGACCTAAAGTCTAACCAAGCTATTAGTCATAATCACGGTGTTATTTCTGACCATAAATTGAGAGCCTACTGCATGTCCGCCATCGAATTTCCATTCATTACTTGATATGCTTTTCTGCATTGATCGGCATTATGATCCCATTATGCAGATGAGTGACTTGTTCGGGGTCACACTGCTAATGATGGCAGAGCTGGGATCCGGACTCTGGTCTGTGTGGCTCCAGACCCCACCTTCCTTTGCATGTCCCTCCACCTGCCTCTAGCCTCCCTGAGTCACGGCAAGGAAAGTTCTAAAACACTGTTGCCTTTTTGGTTTTGTAGTTCTGCTGATAGAACCACCAGCCAGGATTTCAGTGAACAAGGTGAGGAAGAACAAAGAGAAAGCACTAAGCCATCGTAACTGGAGAAAAATAAAAATTAAAACGAAGAAAAGTACTTAACTCTGAATGGGGCATTAGGGATCAGAGGGAGAATTCTTTTACAAATTAATAATCAGTTATTAATAGTGATTGACTAATAGGGGGAGGCTAATTGGGGTACAATGCTTAGTCCGTGTTGACAGACCTCTTGTAGAAACTCAGAGCCTCAGAGCTGAGGTGCCGTATCTTTGACAGTGACTGGTAGACCTTTGCTTTGAGTCCCTTCCTTCACATCTGAACCTCTTGGCCTTTTCTGAGTTGGAAACCACCAGACCGACTCAAATCTTACCCACCCCACCGTGAATCACACGTGCAGAACAGTTCGCTCATGGTTTGGCTTAGGCAGATAGGACTTCCACATCGTGTAGAAAGATTTCTTCCCCACTCCTCATCTCTTCCCAGACTCTCTGCTATTCCCTGTTCCTAGCTTGTTTGGGGGCCTTTGAGGACTCCAGACCTGGTCCCTCTAGGCAGGGGACACATCATCTTGAGCTGAGGGTTTCTGAGTGAAGTGTACAGTGGTCGCCAAGTTTGGTGGCCCCTGGGAGGTCCTGAGCCTTGGAACCCATCCAGGCCCAGGCAATGCGTTCCTCACAGCTCTACTGTGGCCTGAGCTACAGAGGAAGTCTGCAGTGCACAAGGGCCCTTGTTGTGTTTCTCCCGTGATGAAATTGGCTTGCTTTTTAAGCTGATAGGAATTTTAGGCAAATCTGGAACCTTCTGGAAAAGCCTTGGGGGCGGGTCTGGTGGGTCTGTCCTGGGTCTCAGTCGCTGACTGTCCCTGGCCTTCCAGCAGCCCCAGGCTGAGGCTCCTGGACTGTGTTTTCTAAAATAACTAACGCGTAAGAGCTTGTGAACTCCTGGGAGCTTGGGCAAGTCACTTAACCTCTCTGAGCCATTTCCTTACCCATCAAAAATGGGAGTGGTACTAGTGCCTGCTTCATAGAGTTTCCATCTGCCTTGGTTCACACTTAGGGTAGCTGTTGGGGTAACTTCAGCCCAAGTTTCTTACGTGCCCTGGCGGAATTGGTTATCACTTTCTTCCTTCTACCCAAGTGCCTCCTCCTGTAGATGAAGCCTGTAAATAAACTGTGTACAGAAACCTGCCACCATCTCCAGGTTTTCAGCGGTCAGATTTGGGGTGGGTCCTTTGGAAGGACTGAAAATCCTCTCACAGAAGATACAACACACACAGCTCATAAATGGCAGATCCAGGACGGAAACCCAGGTCTCCTGCCTCCTGTCATTGTGCTTTATGCTATGAGAAATCCAGGGCCATACACAGTGCTCGGCCTCTACCTTCCAGGAGCTCCCAGCCTGGCAGGGGAAGAAGCCACAGGTAGAGACTTCCACACCAGATGGGGTGTGATAAAGCCTGAGGTATGAATATTACCCACAGAAGTATAGAAGGATGTTGCTTAGATACCTAGGTGCTTTTTAAACTGTAATATAGGTGGGAATCCCCTGGGGATCATCTTAAAACGCAGATTCTGATTCAGTGGGTCTGGGGTGGGGCCTGAGATTTTCTTCTTTTCTAACGAGCTCCCAGGTGATGCCAATGCGGCTGGTCCACAGACCACACTTGAGGAGTACTGTCTGAGACATCCAGATTTTTCTCTGCATTATCTAATCCTCCATCCAAACGTCTAGAGATCAAAAGCAGAACAAAATAGCAACCACTATTAATATAATAATATCAATAAATGTTACTTTTGGGCTTTTTAAATATGCCACTCTGGGGCGATCTTCAATAGTCACAGTCTAAATGTCCATTGTGCTCCCGGTGTCACAAGGATTTACAGCATAGGAAAAAATACAAAACTCAATAACCTTACTGTTTACAAAGGAGATGACTCAGATTAAACAGCAGAAGAACAAGTCGGCTCCAGTTCGCACATCTATACAGTACACATCTACATTCGCAAAAGGACACAGAAAGCGTGACTAGGCCTCAGACTGTGTTCACATCAGCAGGCGTCAGTACCTCCCCACTGGTCTTCCTGTGTCCACCCAGGACCCCCTCCAGTTCATGCTGTCCACTGCGCTGACCAGAATAGGCTTTTCAAAACGGCGAGTCTGATCATGTTACAGCCCCTGCCCCACCACTCCATCACCCCCATTTGCAACCTTCCATTTTTTCCCGCTACTCTTGGCAGGGCCTATAAGGCCCTGCAGGGCTGGCCTCTGCCTCTCCCCGACACTTTATGCTCCAGCCACACTGGCCGTGCTGTGTTCCTCCTCGTCACACAGGCTTTGCACATGCTGTTGGCCAGAATACATGGTTTAACCCCATCGCCTCCCTAATATCAAAAATGAAGAGGAAAAAAAAAAAAAAAAAAAAAAGATGAAGAGGGTGCGAGCTTCAAGGGAGTTAGTGTTAACTCTACCTCCCTGAAAGGCTTCCTAGGGGGAGGGAGATTGCTGCTACTTTACAGGAGGAAAAAGACGACATTAGGTGAAACAGAGAAGCAACATGGTTGGGATGGAGGAAAGAAGGTCTCACCAGGAATGTTAGGGCCAAATGACCTTGAAAACCAGAGTCAAGATCCTATGACCATGTATATGTATAACTGATTCACTTTGTTATAAAGCAGAAACTAACACACCATTGTAAAGCAATTATACTCCAATAAAGATGTAAAGAAAAAAAAAGATCCTATGACCAGTTTAAAAGAGGATTTCAAATGTTACAGAAACCTGAAATACTACAGAGAAGTCTTTCTTAGTAGTCTCATCCAGACTACCAAATTTCTGTCTTTAGCTCTGAGGTTTTTTATTTTTTTGAGCTTGAGACCTCAGTCACCAAGTGCCTATCTGGATATCTACTCCAAGTACCCCACTGGCCCTCTCAATACAATTAATCACAAACTGAATTCACATCTTCTCTTTCTTAAATCCCCTCTTCTGTCTTTTCTATTTGTCAACTAGTTCATTACTTAGAACCATCTTTGAGCCTTTTCCCTTGCCCTCTTCATTTTATCATTTTATAGTCTCTCCCTTACCCAATCCTTCTCTCCATTGCCATCACCATCAACATTTTCTCTCAGGTCTTCTTTTTTCTCCAGCTGATGCCAAGGCCTTCTATTGGTCTCCCAACTCGAAACACTCCCTACCGGGACCTCCCTGGCCGTCCAGTGGTTAAGACTCCACGCTTCCAATGCAGGGGGCGCAGGTTCCGTCCCTGGTCTCGGAACTAAGAAACCACATGCCACGTGGTGCAGCCAAAAAACAAAAACAAATAAACAAAGCAAACAAAAACAGTCCCTACCTTACCTGCATGAGCCATGCATGGCTCTGAGCATCATTCCCCCAATCATTTTCAGTGGATTTTCGCCAGCTATACCTGGTCTGACTTTCAAAGTTCCCTTCCATCTGCCTGTCTTTAGTGATTTATCTTCCACCCCTGCTGCCCCTCATGCTCCAGCCTAAGGGAGGTATTTGTCCTGTTCTTGAAAACCTGATGGCCCTTCCCAACTGTGACTGCCTATTCCGATTCCCCCTCTTCCACCCCAGTCCAAATCTTACCCATTCTTCAAGGCTCACCTCAGATACACGTCTTCTACGAAGTCTTCTCTGATAACCCTGGCCACAAGAGATGGTTCCTCAGAACTCCCACAGCACTGTGAAATGCCAATAATTACAGTGCATTCTACCATGATAATGATAATAATTCCTTTCTATGACAGTGTCAATAATATCTATTAAGGGGACTTCCCTGGTGGTCCAGTGGGTAAGACTCCACACTCCCAACGCAGGGGGCCTGGGTTCAATCCCTGGTCGGGGAGCTAGATCCCACATGGATATTGCAACTAAGAGTCCGCATGCCGCAACTAAAGATCCCACATTCTGCAGTGAAGATCCCACGTGCTGCAACGAAGACCTGGCGCAGCGCAGCCAAAATAAATATTAATTAAAAAAATAATATCTATTAATTTTTGAGCATTTACTATCTGGGTATCTTGGGCACATTATGTAAATCCATGCCTTCGTCTTTCATCTGTAAAATGATGGTAATAATAGCACATAGCTCATAGGGCTGTTGTGAGGATTCATTAGAATCATACCTGACACAAAGTACCTGACTAGTGAACATTAGCTATTGTTATGAGTATAGGGGTACTTTATATTGTCTCAACTAATCCTCAGACCCCCTGAACTAGGTTCTTTTTAAAAAAATTTGTGGGTTGAGAACTGGTGAGTTTTAGATTAAATGAACTTGTGTGCAAAAAAAATTGTGGGAGGGCTTCCCTGGTGGTGCAGTGGTTAAGAATCCGCCTGCCAATGCAGGGGACACGGGTTCAAGCCCTGGTCCGGGAAGATCCCACACACCACGGAGCAACTAAGCCCGTGCGCCACAACTACTGAGCCCATGTGATGCAACTACTGAAGCCCATGCGCCTAGAGCCCGTGCTCCACAACAAGAAAAGCCACCACAATGAGAAGCCCACGCACCACAACGAAGAGTAGCCCCCGCTCACCGCAGCTAGAGAAAGTCTGCGCACAGCAACGAAGACCCAATACAGCCAAAAATAAATAAAAGAAATTTATTTAAAAAAAAAATAAAAATTTTAAATTGTGAGAAAATATGCATAACAAAAACTTTACCATCTTAACCATTTTTAAGTGTACATAAAGTCCAGTAGTGTTAAGTACACCCACAGTGTTGTGCAGCCAATCTCCAGGAACTCTTTTCATTTCGCAAAACTGAACTTCTGGGGCTTCCCTGGTGGAGCAATGGTTAACACTCCACGTTCCCAATGCAGGGGGCCCAGGTTCGATCCTTGGTCAGGGAACTAGGTCCCACGTGCATGCCGCAACTAACAGTCCCCATGCCACAACTAAGGAGCCGGCGAGCCAGAACTAAGGAGCCCACCTGCTGCAACTAAGACCCAGCGCAACCAAATAAATAAAATGTAACCAAGTAAATAAGTAAATAAAACGAATATTTTAAAAAAAACCTTGAACTTCTATTCCTATTAAACAATTCC